ACGCAACATATTTTAAGAGAAAAGAAAAAGAAGAAGATAGCAGGAGAAGAAGAATGAAGGGGAGTAAGTCAGAGGGGGAGACGAACCATGAGAGATGATGGACTCTGAAAAACAAACTGAGGGTTCTAGAGGGGAGGAGGGTGGGGGGATCAGTTAGCCTGGTGATGGGTATTAAAGAGGGCACATTCGGCGTGGAGCACTGGGTGTTATGCACAAACAATGAATCATGGAACACTACACCAAAACAAATGATGTAATATATGGTGATTAACATAACAATAAAAAATTTAAAAAAAAAGAAATTTGAGCAAAGTATGTGTTGAATTCCTAACACGTGGCAGAGAAACAGTTTGAAGACTGCTGCCAGTCCCAGGCCCCCACCCCTCCCAGCGATGCCACGCGGCTTCCTGCATCCCGTTCTGGGCATCCAGGACCACACGACCTAGGCAGCTGGTAGCCAGGTGGCCTCGTGGCCCCGGGTCCATGGGAGGAGCCCAGAAACCTCAGGTGGCCAGCACTTAGGGTCCTTCAGAAAGCTCCTGGGGGTGGTGGGACTCGAAAGCAGGCCAACCAGCCCAGCACGGGGGTCCAAGGGAGCCTCCCGGGAAAGACCACGTGCTCTAGCGTGGCAAACCACCACCCGGTGAGCCCTCCTGGGTACACTCCTCAGAACCTCACCTCCGGCCCGACCTCGGGCAGACAGGGGTCTCACTACAACGCACCCCCAGAGGGATCTCGGCTCAGGGCTGAGAGCTGCACCCCTCACCCACATCCTCTGTGCATGGAGACCCTTCCCCACCCACCACCTCTTACCAGCCCAAGGGACAACTTCAGGGAAGGTTCATGCAAGGTTCTCCCCATCCCGGACCCACCAACTGCTGCCCAGCCCAGCAGCAATGACCTTCCTTGGGTCATTCCTTGGTCTGGAATTCCCACATGGCCAGAGCAGGGCAGACTGACCTGCACGGGGGCTGGCGTCCCTGTTCCTCGCTTGGTGGTGGCTTTCCCAAGGAGCGTGGCCCCTGTCCAGCCATGAGAAAAGGAGCTTGGCTGGCGGCCTCCCCACCCCTGCTCCCATGGGCCCTTCCCAGCCCCACAGCAAGGCTGGAGCCCGGACCCACCGCCGGCAGTCCCGAACAACAGGGCTGCATGTGCGCCCCCGTTTTGCTGTGGGGCTGAAGCCTGCCTGTTGGCCTGGGAGAGGCCAGGGGAGGCCTGCAGCAGGGGGTTAGGCTCTGCCCAGAATCGCGGCTTCCAAAGTCTGGACATGAGGACTGAGTCCTGTGGGCTCCCTGTCATCACCCCTGTCCCGTTGGCTTAGAAACTCAGGCCCATCCAAAGCACCGGAGGTGGGCAAGGGGCCTGTTTCCTTCCCCGCAGCACCCAGCGCTGCTGCATCCCCACGACACCATAATGAGCTCTTGATAACGGGACGGAGGACGGAAACGCCCAAGCTGATGGAAGGGAGAGTCCCCCTGTCTGCGGTTGGGTGGGCAAATAAACACGACCTGGTCCATACAGTGGACATCACTCAGCTGTTAAAAGGAATGGAGCCCTGCCCCCTGCCCCCACGGGGATGAGCCCCGAAGACACGAGCCAGACACGGAAGGACACGCAAAGGGACCCCACTCCCATGAGGTCCCAGAGTCGTCACACTCACGGTCACAGAGGGCAGACGGCGGGGCCGGGGCTGGGGGCACGGGTCGGGGTCCGTGCATCACGAGGACAGGGTCCCCGAGTGCGGGATGGAACATTCTGGAACCGGACGGGGGGACGGCTGCACAGCAGCATGGACGTGCTCGGTGCCCCTCAACTGCACCCTGAGAAATGGTTAAAGTGGTCAATTTTACATTACGTGTATTTCACCACAGTAAAAACAAGAGAAAAACCCTCCTCTGTGAAGGATTTCAGACTAAAAGCGCAAGTCGGGAGGAGATACTTCATTGCACATTTAATACTACATGCAGCATTCAGAACGTCGCGATAAATAGGGCAGGCTTACACATCACAGAAAATCCACGGGCAAAGGCAGGGCTGGCCGGGGGCCACCTGGGACCGGCAGCCGCCCGGACGTGCACAGAGCAAAATTGGGGTAACTGCACCATCTCATTTGTGACACCAGGAGCCACCACGAGGCTCTGCATGGCCCACAGGCCTCTTCGCTCGCGGGGTGCTTGGACGGAAAATACATCTACAGGGGCACTCAATGGATCATGGACTTGAGAGTGTGGGGCCTGGAGCTGTTTGCTACTTTTCCTGCTTCAGGAGGGTGGGGTCTGGGTCCACACTTATCTCCCAGGGCAAGGGCACATGTCCAGTGGGCATCGCTGGACAACTCAGAAGACGACCCTGGTTCTCACAACTTTATCCAGAATGTGTCTAGAAAACCCCTCCCCTCCCTCCGAAAGTCTCCAAGAAGCTGCTTTGCAAACAAGTTGAAGAGCAGACATCATCCAGGCCCCACCCCACTCCGGGAGAACAATGCTCCCCAGATGGTGGTGCATCCCCAGCTCCAGGGAAGGCAAGGGCAGGCCACTCGACCCCGTCCCTCCTCTAAGGGTACCTGGGAGCTTGGGTCCAGGGGCAGGGGAAGGTCACCAGAAGCTCTTATGCCTGGCATCTCTGGCAGGACCCTCAGGAGCTGAGGCCTTCTCTTCCTTACACTGACTTCCCCTGGAAGCTGCGGTCCCTCTGGGACACCCCCCCTGGAGGTCAGCAAGCCACACTGGGGACTGCAGCCCTCATCACATGACATTCAAGGCCCCAGGGCACGGTGGCACCTGCATGGCCTGACCCAGCCGACCCAGCCCACCTGGGCCAGCCTGGACTCATGGCTGGCCCCTCGGCCACTGGGGGCAGGCTGGCTCGTGTGCCCCCAGAAGCTCAGGTCCGAGAAGATGTGCCCACCAGCTGCAGAGGGGGAGGGATGTGGGGAGGGGCCGCCAGCATCTCCTCGGCCTGGGGGTCTTGGGGGACCTTTGTCTTTGCAATGCACAGGGTGACTGTTTTATTCCAAACGTGAGTCCAGGGGGAGGGGCAGCCCCGTGTGGCCGGGGCGCCCACCCCCAACGGCCGCGGATACAGACGAGCACGCCACCACACGGAAGCGGGGCCGCGGGGCTGTAGGGCTCAGACAGTGAGGGAGATGAAGCTGTTGTAACGCTGGATGTTCCTCTTGAGGATCTCGGAGCAGGGGCCCAGCACACGCTCAAAGCGGGGCCGGTCCAGCTTGACGCACTTGAGGGGCCCCCGGGCCACTACGGTGGCTGCCCGGGGCCGGTTCAGCAGCAGCGCGATCTCCCCTGGGGGGCGAGAGGGTGGTCAGGGGCCCGGCCCCCAGGGCTGCCCACACCGCTCAGTTCCACTGGATTCCAACAAATACGCGTTTAGTGTAAGCATGTCCCATGGAGTGTTGGGGTACCAACACATGGCTCCCCATCAATCTGCCACAACCCCACGTGGTCTGCAGCCCGGGCCCCTGCCGGAACTTGCGTGGCTAGGGGCTCGAGTTATGACCTCCCGGGGGACGGCCATGTCCGGGACACATCCGTCGATGGTGCCCAGGCCTGCACCCCGCACGACCCCTGCAGCTCTCCACCTCAGGGCCCTTCCAGGGACCCCCCAATGAGACACGCACCCTGTGAGGGCGGGGACTCCAGACTCACCGAAGTAGTCAGAGGGCCCCAGGCGCCCCACCTCCACGTACTCCTCGTTGGGGGACCGGCGCTGGAGGACGGAGGCCGTGCCCTGCAGACGCCAAGGGGACACGTGAGGGTCAGCGGCTGGATAGGGCATAGGCAGGGGAGGGGGGGCGTGGCCTGAGGTCACCCAGCAGGGGAGTCACAGGTGAGGGGGTCACACCCAGCAGGGGGTTCATAGAAATCAGAGGTGAGGAGTCAAAAGTGAGGAGGTCACAAGGAGAGGCCACAGGTGAGAGATCACCCAGCAAGGGGGCACGCCCAAATCCCCTTCCTGCCAGCTTCCATTCACGCGCCCCCCCCTTCTAAGCTGAATTCAGGGTTCTCCTCAGGGACAGAAGGGTGTGGAGTCAGAACCTCGCTGGGGTCTGGCCAAGGGCGTGAGGCTGCCATAGGCCATACAGTGGGGAGAATCTTGGAGCTGACCTTGAGCTAGCTCTCAAGGACATGGCGCTCCAGCGGGATGGGTGTGGCCTCAGGTCATTCACCCAGTGAGCAGTGTGGCTCCCTCCCGACCCCCAACAGGGGTGTCTCCAGACGCTGCCGGCTCAATGATTAACGCAGGCCTTAGAGACGAGCACAGGGCACGCTGAGCACATTTCAGCCGAAGTCTCCCGCTCCAGGGGGACCTGCAGCCTCACACCCGGGCAGGAACGGGCTGAAGCTCTGGCACTGAGTGGGTTCTGACCCTCGGGCCCCCTTGCCTGCCAAGCCACTTGGGCTAGTCCCTTGTTTGGGGGAACCAGACACCAGCTGCGTCCATACCTTCCTATTCTACACCTGTCGGCGGGCTGGTGCCGCTATGGAGACTAAAAGGGAGGCTTTATAAACTGCCGGGAGCACCCAGTTGGTGCTCAACACTGACCCTGCAAAGCGGGTGTCGATGAACGGCGTCCCTCCCGCAACCAAGCCCCATGTGGCTGGGCTCAACGGCCTCCCGAATAACGGAGCCACTGGGAGGGGCCACCAGCTTCTTCATGGCTGCCAAGGGGACTGAGGCCCGGGGAGGACGTGGGCCCCTGCACCCCCCACTGCCCTCAGCCGTTAGGGCGCGCCCACAGCTCTGCAGCCCAGCACCCCGATGCCCTTGCAGCACGAACAAACGTGCTCTTGTTCCAAGGTGGGCTCAGTTCACCGGCTCACCATCTCTGGCCGGGCCACGTGCGGGTTAATGAGTAACTCCCACCTCACCTGTCATAAGACTCTGCTGGTGCTGCAGTGCCTGGAATCTCTGGGCACCAATTGGCAGCCCCTCCGGCTGGATTCCCCCCGCTCGCCCCTGATCCGGCCGTGGGGCCACTCGGCTCATGGGCCTCTGGGGTGTTTATGAAGCTGGCTGATGGATGGCGCCAGACGTCTAAACAGCCAAGCGACGCCACCACCACCCAAGAGTTGCGGCTGGTGGGGGGCCTGGAGAACACGTGTTCCCTCCCCGAGCCCCTGGGAGGAATGGAGTCCTGGCCCCCACGGCCCGCACTGGGTCTTCCCCGCAGCGAGACGTGGGGCAGGTCACCCAAACGCCACATGCGGTTGCTGCCACCATGAGAGCCTGGGTCCCCTGTGCCCAGGGCCGCCATGACAGGCGTTATTTTTCTTGATACCCTGTTGTGCCGACCTAATTCTCTTTCACATCTATGTCTTTTACCTTGTGATGCACGTAATCTACATGCCTTTCATTCCCATTTTAGACAATTTTCCACTTTACAATGGGATCATTTTCTCCTTCCAAAACCCCAGGCATGGAACTGGAGGCCTTTGGTTTGCAGAATTACTCGGCGACACTCCAGGCCTACAGTGTCCCTTCAGATGCTTTGAACCCCCAACATCGGCAAACCCAAGCGGAGTGGGCTGAGGGCTACTGGGATTCCGCTGCCCAGATGTGGGTCAGGGACCTGGGCTCATTCCCACCTCCTGCTCTGGCGACCTCAGTCCCTCCTGGTGGCTCAGTAGCTGCCGTGGTTCCGGGAGTCACCAAATGTCTCCCCACGCCATCAGCAGGAAGAGAACCCACTTCTTCCTCCTGCAGCTCTATTAGCAGGAAAACCTTCTAGAAGCTTCTGGCAACCTTTCCTCTGCTGCACTGACCCAAGCAGGTCAGACGTTCATGGAGCCACTGCTGAGAGGGTGGGCACTAACGGGGAGGGGCTGGGGATCCGGGTTGTGTTCACAAGAAGGAGCAGGGATGGGCTCGGGGGTGGGGGGGCCAGCACGGGTCGGCCACATGGACAATCACCTGAGACCACCATCCCCCGTGCGACTGGTACCATATCCTTTCTGGTGGTACACAGAGCAACGGCCACATGAGACGAGACCACCGACACGGGGGAGCACACATGCCCTGCCCACACACCCTCAGAGGATGTGTGCACTCCGGCACGTGGGTGCATCACCATCCCAGCCAGACGGCAGCGAGGTAGGTGCCTACAAGGAGAGCCCTCAGCAAACGCAGGGTAGGGAACAGCGCCGTCTGTCGTGGGCCGCAGCCCCAGGCCTCCTTCGTGGGTAGATGTGACCACGTGGCCATGTTCTCACAGACAGACTCCCTTTGCGTGACTGTGACGCTGACCGCGGGCAGCAAGGTGCAGTGGGGGCACCAGGTGGAAGGGCCACGTGGGACAGCCTCCCAGCCCAGGACACATGCTCACAAGAAGACACTTCGTTCTTCCAGGTGCGCTGTTTCAGGGCCTCTGTGCCAGCAGCGCCGACTCCCCCACCCACACACCATCCCCCAGCGCCCAGCGCGGGACCGTCAAGGACCGTTCTGTCTGCCCAGTGCCGGCCCGAGCCTGGAGGGCGCAGACCTCCAACCAGCAGAGCGCGGTTCCCACGACACGACACGCCCCGGTCCTGGAAATAATCCTCCCATCCGAGCCCTGCTTCCCAGACCGCCGTAAGGGCAGCACAGACACCCTCGCGGGACTGAGAGTTGGAATGTTCTGGGCTGGAAAAACACACTTGCCAAAACTCCAGATCATATTCCCCAAATTTCTCACTTAGTGATTCTAACCCTGTTCTGAAAATAAATCAGGTCACACGGAGCACGGCCGGGAGAACGCAGGAGAAAAGCCTTAGCATAGGCGTCAGGGGGTGGGGATTATAAATGACCCCTTTCCTTCAGCATTTTATTTATTTTTTCAAAAGTTTCCTATGAAATCGAAAACCAAAATAAACGTTCTGGTTTCCGACAACGGGCAGGTACAACTTCCATGAGAAAGACCCAGTGAGGTGGCGGCAGAGAACAGCCGGGTGGGGCGGGCACTCGGGGAGCACGCCTGGCCCCAAGCCTGTGCTCCAGACCCGCGCTGCGTGTGCAGCAGGTACCCTCATTCCAGCCATTCTCTCGGGCGTGCCTTCCCACACCCAGTGCACAGAGCGACCCCCTGCACCCGCCCGCAGTCTTGGAGCCCCACCCTGGTGGGATGGCAGGCGTCATCGAGTCGGTTGGAGCTGTGAGCTGGTGGCGGTCGCCCCAGTGCCCGCTGGACCCTGATGGCACCCAGTGAAGGGGGAGGGACGAGGCTCAGGAGGGGTGGGTGTCCATCAGACGCTGACATGCCGGTGAACAACTGAGCACCAGCTCTGTGGCTCCTTCTGCCTAGACCAGTGCTGTACGGGCAGTAATGGGGTTTCTGAAAGAGCCATCATTGCGGCAGACAACAGCCTGTCCCAGCGTCAGACCCATCGAGCCCCTCCTCTGTCCATTCTAAAGTTCTGGAGCCTTGTCTCTGCCCAAGTGCGGGTCCACCTCCCTGTGGCGTGGCGGAAAGACTCGGTGCAAGGGTGTCACACGCTTGGGGGCAAACTGCTGAGGCACACACACTGGCCTGTGTTCGTGCTGGCGTTCAGTGGATGCTCCATGAGGCCGGGGCCTGGGTGAAGGGAGAACAGCAGAGCCACGTGGGCCCCAGGGCTCCAAGAAGGGGGCAGGGAGCACCAGAGTGTGGGGCGCCACAGGCCCTGCTTGGGGAGGGTTCTTTCTCCAAACCCAGTGATTGTCTCATTCCCCCTGAAGCCAGCCGGCGCCCATGAGGAGCTCAGGAAAGTGGCTGGCGACCCATGCTCCAGCGGGCAGCGTCTGGGAGACATGCAGGCGGCCGCACCACGTGTCCTTGAGTGAACGACAGAGGGGCATGCAGGTCACAGGCCACGGCTCCGTTCCTCTGGGCTCTGCTCCCAATGCCCGGTTCTTCCCTGCCACCTGAGCACCCACGGCTTCCGCAGGCTCAGGGCACCCAGGGCTCACAAGCCCGAGGTGTCGTAGGCACACACACCCTGCCGTGAGCCAAGGTAGGAGAGAGGTGCCAGCGCCCAGGGCTCCTTCCAGGTGGGGGTGGCTGGCAGCCTGCTGTCGGCTACTCTGGGGTCGAAGTGGTTCTGGAGCTGCCCCCCAGCACCCCACCGAGGACCCCAGGGGCTTCCAGCTCAGCAGAGCCCGAGCCCAGCAGCCACCTGCCCTATCCCCAGGCACCAGGGTCTGCAATCTCCCTGCGCAGGCTGACAGCCTACACTGCGGGTACCAGAGCCACTGGGTGGGTTCTGGCCTCAACACCTCCCCAGGGGGCGGGTCAGCAAGCCCAGACCACCCATCTGTCCATCCTCCATACCACGGCTTCTGTTCCTCCCTCCATGTCACAGCCAAAGCCTCAGGCCCCAGGCTCCCCCCTACGTGCTCCATCACTGTCCCCGTGTGTGCGCCGTCCCTCTACAAGGCTCTCCACCCATTCTAGTGGCACCCCATGGCACACCAGGCTCTTTGAAGATGGGGCCTGGCCCCTGGCCTGCACATACACAGGCCTTCCCAGGTGATGCCACCTTGTGCAACGTCACCTCCAGCTGCGTCTCCCTCATTCTATGTGGAGCTCCTTCCCCGCACGCTAATCCCTGGGGGAGATGCCACTGGCCCTCTGCCTGGACTTGGGCTCTCCCGTCCCTGCACGGTCGGGGTCACAACTCCGGGCACCTCACATGGCCCCCCGTCCAACTCCACACTCCCCCACCCTCTGTCTCAAGCGGCTCGCGGGCCAGGGGGCATTGTGCTCATCACAAGCA